AAATAATTAATATTAGGTAAGTTTCTTTGCCTTGGGTGGGTATAAGGTAAAAATATTCCTGTTTGTTCTAAGCATTCTTTAAAAACCAATGTGGGTCACTAAAATCAAAAGTATTTCAATAAAACCCATAATAAATAAAAATACAAGGCCTGATACTATTTTATGTAATAGAAACACCGGATAATCGATACTTCATTTTTTTTTTTCTATAATGGTAGTTACAGTATAGGAACTAAGCACGCCACTGTATATCTCTGTCAAGGTTACAATTTAAAGCTCGATTGAGGTTGCTTAGTTGATTGCTCTGCTTTCTGTAACACACGAATTTTGTACCTGAATTGATTGGGCTAGGGAACCAAACGATCAAAGGGCTTAAAGCTGATCTTTCAGGCTTGCTCAAGGATTTGTCAAATGTATACGCTTTCTGAAAGGGTCCGCGTGTGTCCCTCTTATTCGTTTTTTTTTTTATCAAAGGATTATGATTAAAAAATAATGTATGTACTTATGTCAAAGTTCTTTTTATGGAATTATTGTGACTTTAAGTCGTTAATAGTCTTTCATAAATTGAAAAATTGGAGATAAATGTTCGTAAACCGTTTAAATTTACAACGTTTGTCCTACATTTAGGAGTATAGAAAATAGATCATATTGATAAAATATCGAAAGGGTTTTGGACAATTCTAATTTATTTCTTACACTTTAACTTTTCAATACAACGTTCTATATTCCACTAAACTCGGCGTTGATACGTCGGCTATTTATATTAATCCAACTTCGCTACTGGAAAATAATTCGATGACTAAACGGCACTCCTCGCCGTTCCATCTGTTTCTAGGGCATCAGCGGCAGGCATTTTGTAGTTTCTTGTATATTCGAGACGCGGTCCGGCTGTTTTCACACATCAGCGTTGCTTCGATCACGAGTCGGTTGCGTGCGTACACAGGGTCGGATTAGGAATTCATGACAATATTGATAAAATATTAAAAGGGTTTTGGACGAAATTTTTTATTTTGTTAACATTAATAAGGTAAACAAGTCGCTTTTTATGTCTTAAAAATTGAAAATATTTTGGACCTTAGATTTAAAGAACCATATCTTCAATCTCCCAAATTTGGAGAGACAGGAATGAAACTTCCTACCGAGGTTTGTATACTATTTTATTTACAACCATCATATTTCGATCAAAGTTAATAAATCTCTGTTTTGTTCTGAACATACCTAAAATATTACATTTAACGACAAATTACCAAGCGCGCGGTTTTCTCAGATTAATCAAGTAGGTAAATATAAAAACTTCGTCTTCGTGCGATAAGGATAATCTACTCGAATTGTACAGTATATTTTTTCTACGAACCACGAAAATCTTAAAAAAAATTAAATTATTTTTGGTTATTAAGATAAAATAACTTATTTTAGAAATAATTTATGACTTTTACTAATTTATATAATAAAATTAAATAAAAAAAAAAAAGATTTAATTTAGTTAGTCCCCAATCCTAGAATTAAAACCTTGACCTCTGCATGACAGCCAAATGTCCTAGTCTCTGCTTTGTCGCCACACATAATTTAGTTTTAATATTAGTAATTAAATTGATTTCATATAGTTTCATTAAAATTTATGGTTTATTCGTTAATATAGACGAAATAAAAATAGAAATATTTATCGATTCTACACAAGAATAACTCATTTTAATGTATATTTAATCTCAAGAACTAAAAAATTTACTGACAATTAGTTTTGACAGAATTGTCACTTAATATTAAAAAACCATTTTAGCCGGGTGACCAAAATATGAACTGTGATTGGTGGATTTATTTCTTTGCAGTGTTTTTACTAAGAAGAATGGATATGAAATATATTCGTTCAGTTGAACGCAATAACATACTTTTTCATTTTGTAGTCTGTGCGTAGATAAGCTAATATCCATGTGGTTGTAGAAAAAATACATTTTATAATGGTATTTAATTTAAATTTGATTTGATTTTTTTATATTACTTTATTAATTTATTATTTAAATTATTCATCCATTCACTAGGTATATTTTTTGCTTAGACAGATATGTTAAGTTTGATTCAAAAAATAAATTAATAATAAGAAACACAATATGTGAACTAACTAGCAAAATAGTCTATTTTTACGCTTATATGAATTTCTAGAACATTCTAGACAATGACATATCAACGATCTATTTCTAATACGCCGTATCTACATAAAATTTAATTTTTAGTTGTACAATTGTCATAAGCACATATTTGTTGAAATACACCGTATTGACTTCATAAATTATTGGAGTGATAAATTTGATCATTCTAATATCCTGTATTGCAATCAGATTTAGCAGTAATAAACTAAAAAAGCTTCTCCTGTAAAATACCAAGTTACGGGGTATTAGAGTTAGACCATCGATATGTGCCAGTATATACATTACGCATCCACCATTTTCGATGAATATTGCATCCACTAAAATCGATGTTTCTAGAATCTTCGTCGTCATTCCAGAACAATCTGAAACTTATATTGTCAGTTGCCTTCTTTTTTATAAACAATATTCTTGGTAATGGGACATATGGAGGTTGTAAAAAGTCCAAATAAGACAAAGAGGGAACATAATCATTCTAGTCAAAAATGGCGCGACTGAGAACATTACCAGTGCCAATTATAAATGCTGGGCCTTCAAAAATATCCGAAACCCACGTGACCAAATCTTCATGTCAGCGGTTAGTCTGTAACCATGAGAAATAACAACAAAAAAATCATATTAATTAGGAATGCTTAACATTATTATATTTTCATGGAGTTCGATTTATTTTTAAAAATTTTGATGTAATCACTATTTTACTTTTGAAATCAGTACCTCTTCTATTAAAAGAGAAGAATAATTCGACACCGTACCGTGAGTGGGTGAGTGTTTTATTAATGTTTATAAAATGTTAAACATTAAAAGCACAATATTTTATTTTTTATGTCCAAATAAAAAGTAGTCAGGAGATGTGAGGTCTGTAAATCTTAGAGGCCATAATCCTTTACTAATAATTCGGTCATCAAAATGTTCTTCTATTAGGTCAAAAGTAGCTCTAGCTGTATGAGCTATTGAAAATAACCCAATTGTAGCTCATCATCATGTAGCTCTTCAACAAATTTAAGAATAATATTTCGATAACGTTGGCCATTAATGGTGTCATAGAAAAATATGGGCCCTATTATTATTCTTCTTGAAATTGCTACCCAAATACCATCTTTTATGGAATGTAGACTTGTCTTCACAAAAAATAAGGATTCTAAGTTACCCATGTTCGATAATTTTGACTCTTGACATATCCTGGTAAGAAAGCAAGTTATTGCTATTTAACTGCTCATTGAACCATGGACAATATTCCATATGTTTATCAAAATCACCAAAAAACAATTGGTGCAGTACTGAAACCTTAATAAGAATACATTAATAGATTTTTTCAACTCCTTATGGCTGGTTTCTACCGAGTAATTTTAAACGAAATTAGCTTATAGCATAGTCAGACTTCCAAACACTGTTCTTACCTGCTTGAACTGCTAATTTTTTCACAGATTTATTGAGACTTTGCTCCATGCGAATTCGCACATCATCAAGAAAATCTTCTGTTATTACTGTGGGCCTTCCAGACCCATTTTCTTTACAAATTCAATGTTTCGTTTCAAAACGTTGAACAAGAATGTGTCTATGATGACGAAAATTATCATATTCTATTTTTACATCTAGAAAACGTTCCTCATTTTGAGTTTCACTTCTAAAATGTGCCATTAATAGCCCAAAAGCCCACTGCAAATTTTTACCGTCATCTGATAACGAAATGAAATATACCCCATAAGCATGGAAAAAGATTGTACTTTACCAAATGGCACCTGTGCCAATACCAATCCTGAAATAATTTTATATTAAAAAATCACAAAAGCCATGACAGCGCTAATTTGTTTCCCCTTAAAGTTTTCCAGAAAACAACATTCAAATATATCTTGATATATATAGTTAACTTAACATCGCACAAAAACATCTATCCACGATTAGTAGGTAAAAATCATTAAAAATATGAATCAATTTTTGTTGATTTAAAAATGTATTTATATGCCTATTGTTGTGATTCATTTTGACAGGTTGCCATAGAAACGACAAAAAAACTGCTATGATTAGGGTTTAAAATAATTGTCTAACAAGAGTTTATAATTATTATTGACTATCTCTGCAAATGGTTTATACAATGTCATCCTTCTTCCTTTCACACATAAACATGGTTTAAAAGGTAGGTAAAAATATTATTAATTCAGGTATAAAAGCTAGGTTCACAATAAATTAGGATTGTAATTTTCAGGGAAAACACGATTGTCGCTGTCATGTCATATGTGATTTTTCGATAGTAAAATAAATTTTTTTAGCAACTTTGCTCAGGATAGGGATTGGCACAGGTGCAATTTGGTAAAGTACAATGTTGTTACATGCCTTTGGAGCATTTCATTTCGTTATCAGATGACGGTCGAAATTTGCAGTGAGCTCTCATACTATAAAATAATAGAATCCTTATCCGATGTAAACATTTAAACTTTTATGAAAGTAAATAAATTTACTCCTACCGTCACAAAATGAGCTAAACGAACTGATTAGTTTATTATTTTTTAATGAAAAATTTAATAAAAGCATGTTGACAAAATGTAAAAAATCAATATGTAGATTTTTGACAGTATTGACAACGACAGTTGACATATAAGGATCCAAATCAGGCCCTTTCGCTGTGTTTTTAATGTTAATGGTTCACGTGGGTTTAGTGTACCCTTGAAGACCTGCTTAATGTTAAAAGTCATTAGACTACAATCCTGAAAACATCTTTCTCTTACAGAGATATTTCATAGTATTTATTTAAAAATTTACCAAATATTAACATAATTGTTGGTTGTTGAAAGAAATATTCATAAAAATAAAATTTTAATCTCTACCATATCCTCCAAACTAATCTTGTATTGTTCTTTGCAGCCTCCCGTATTCGATACGAGATCACAAGCGGTAACATAGGAGGTGCATTTGCAGTTAAAAATATGACTGGAGCGATTTATGTAGCTGGAGCATTGGATTACGAAACCAGAAAAAGGGTGAGTGTAAATTGAGTGTGAATAGTAAAGTTTGAAAATTTCAGAATATTATAGAAAAGTTATTGTTTCATCTAACTGAACCGTCTGGGATTATAAATTCGGTTTATTATCGTTCAGGTATAATTGGAAGTGGAAGGTGAAATTTGTGATGTTTTTATTTTGAATTTGTCCCAAGGCGGTAATTTATTATTATATTGTTCTACTAGCGTTATTTGGTTCGGTTGTTTATAATTTAATTTATTAATAATTATTGGTTGTACATATTTATTAATAAAATATGCTGGTTAATTTTGTTGTTACGCTTCCAAGCCAGCTCGTTGGGCATATTATAAAATATAATTTAAATTCAGTGAGTTTTAAACCATTTGCACCAAAATAGAAAACTGTATTATCCAACTTTCTGAAAATGTTACTGTTGATTGTTTTTCTTATTTATCGGTATAGTGTAACAACCAGTTAGTTTAAGGACCATTTTTGCTGAGTCCTTAACTACTTGTTGTCATTATACTATTAAGGGATAAAGGCAGCACCGTTACCAGCCTCAGGGTCCTGGAGTCCTGAAGGAACATCCTTTCGTTAGTGGCAAAAGAAAATAATAAAAAAAAATAATAAAATACAAAAACGTCCCTTAATAGCATATGTCGAGCGGTTTTGGCAACTGACTTAAGACTCTCAAGTCCTTAAGGGTAGGAACGCCGAGGCTTAACATGCTCGGAATATTTCTTACTGATTTTTGGAAAGAGGTGAAAATAAAATAGGTTAATAAACAGAAACATGTTTATTTAAAATATAAGTAAAAAATTATTAACAATTTCAATAAATCAGAACAATCTTTATTTTTGAAAGAAGACAAACAGAAATTACTACCCACAATTGTAAATCTTTAATATGATAAACAATTTTAATACAATATAATCTATGATAAAACTTTAATATAATAAAACCTTTTATGTCACAAAACTTTTAATATAATAAAACTCTTTAAATCTGATAAACATTTAATAAATAAACTTGGGACGAAAATGAAAGAATTGGCATTTGAAGAAAACTAATGAACTGTTTTAAAATACACAACCCAAACAAGAGATTTAAACAACATGTTAAAATAAAATATTCTATATTCTAAGGAATTCTCTAACATTTCTCTTCACCTTGTTTCTATTATTTTTGTAGATACATCTTCAAAACCAAGATTATAAAGATGTCTAGGTTGTTTAATTACATTTAAACGCTGGACAATAAATTGTAGTCAAAAAACAATAATATTGGATCTATTAATCCGATATAAAAAAATATAAAAAATGAATGAATAAACCTTAAATATTTCATCAATTTTTTGAACCAATTAACTTAAATATTTAATATTCTTTTATGATTTAGAGCACTTAAAACATAAAATAATCATTATGTCATTTATATTAATGACTCTAGTTAACTTTTCCTAAGAAATTTAAAGAAAAAACTTTAATTAGAGTCGTTTGGAACGAGTTTTGAATATTAATGCTTTGCCCTTCATTAAAGTTTTCAAAACTTATGAATATTTTACTTACCATGAAATATTGGATAATATAAATTTCAGCAACTGACTTTTCTTTCTATTTTTTTTTTATATCTAATAATGATAAAGGCTTATATTGTGCTGAATTTATATTTAATATTTTACAGAAATATTTTGGTTAAGTCTTTAAAAGTTTTAAATCCTTATTTTAACCAATTTTTCGAAAGTTCAAACTGACACATACATTAGTCATTGTGCCTATTCTTACTTATAATCTTGTAATTATTTTTTCTTAAAATGTCCAATGATTCTTTTAATCAATGATACAAATTTTGGTAAACCCTGTAAGTAGTATAGCTGTACCGGTTCTGGGACAGTTTGGTAAGATGTCCATCAAGTTCTCCATGTCCATCCAGTTCTCCATGTCCATCCAGTTCTTCGACTACACCACAGTTAATCGAAGACGTTACTTAAAGAGACATCTAATTAGATGAAGAAGTAACCTGTGAAGCCGCAGGTGTAAAGAACAAAGGAAAAGTGTCACCTGACGTTAGCTATTGTGACGTGTGCAACAATGACCAGAGGCTACCGAAACAAGTCTTGACAGGATTTATCCTGTATAATGCAAAACTTATCGCTTATCTCTTGATCTCTGCTTCTTTTCCGACTTATGCTATAGGAATGACCCAGTAAATTCTTCTTTTCGATGTCACATGACCGGTCTAGCCGAGCCTAAAATGTTTTATTGCACAGAAAATAAAGTCAAAGTTTTTAAAATTACTTATTATTATATATTGAATATATATAAAATATAAATATTTAGAAACAATATTAATACCTATAAAAGGGATTGGATATAACACATACAGCGGTAGTGAAAATATAATGCATCCATCAGAACTCAAACCCTATTCCATATTTATTTTCGATGATGTTGCTTGTGATAATCAGAGAATATTTTAGTATATCTAGACATGCATTTTATTTAAGTTAGAGTTATGCAAAAATTCAAAACATTTAATACGAGACAATGCCAACGTTTTGATTGTCTTTAAATAAGATGATTTGCATTTAAAAAGAATTTATAATGATCACATCGGTACTAACATGGATTTTGATCAATTCAGAAATATGTGTTCTGTGTTGGAGTTCAAGATATGGATTTTTATCAATTTTTAAGGATTATGATATGAATAAAGGACGTTATAGAAAACAGATTGATCATTTAATTTTGTTAGAATAACTACTTTTTTAATTATCCATTTTACGTAAGTCTATAAAACGGTTAGTAGCAGATAAAACCTGATTAAACCTGATTAAGACTTCTTTCAAACCTGATATGAACCTGATTTAAACTTGATAGAAACCTGATTTAAATCTGTTACTATGCCTGTACCTGTGAAACTTAAATGTATACGATGTCATAAAGATAACGATGAACAAAACTCATTGTGTTTTAACTGTCAAGTCCAACAATATTTTAAAGTCTTTACTGGAAGTAAGCACATTCATTCACATTACTATAGTGGAGAAAAAATAAATAAATATTTATGGAAGGTGTCTTAAAATGTGAAAAAAACTGCATTAAATATTATTTTATATATTTAATACCTATATAATAATAAATTATTTTAAAAACTTTGACTTTATTTTCTGTGCAATAAAACATTTTATGCTCAGTTAGACTGGTCACGTGACATCGAAAAGAAGAATTTACTGGGTCATTCCTATAGCATAAGTCGGAAAAGAAGAAGATATCAAGAGATAAGCGATAAGTTTTGCATTATACAGGATAAATCCTGTCAAGACTTGTTTCAGTAGCCTCTGGTCATTGTTGATCTCTTCTTTCTTGCACACGTCACAATAGCTAACGTCAGGTGACACTTTTCCTTTGTTCTTTACACCTGCGGCTCCACAGGTTACTTCTTCAGCTAATTAGATGTCTCTTCAAATAACTTCTTCGATTACCTGTGGTGTAGTCGAAGAACTGGATGGACATGGAGAACTTGATGGACAGCTTACCAAACTGTCCCAGAACCGGTACAGCTATACTACTCCTGTATTATAGCTAATCATTTCTTGTTGATAAACTATTAAAATCTTTGTGAAATGGTAGTAAATTAATTCCACTATTTCACTACTTTAAAAAATAAATGAGCATTGTTGTAATTAACATGAGTTGATAATATCACTCACAATGTATAACATTGCTATGCTGCTACTTGATTAATAACAAATAATGTTCCACCATGAATTTGATTACATTAATAATCATCGGGTTATTGATTGGTTAGTTCAAATAAACAGAGTAAATTCAATTGTTTATTGTGTAAAGTAAAAAGGTCTTTATTTTTAGATAAATATGCATATCTGTGCTTATCACTGTCAAAATATTCTTTCAAATTTAATTAGAAAATTGTACAATTTATTTTATTGTTTTGTGATTTAATCAAATAAATACATTTCTTGAAATTGTATATAGAAGTCATGAAAACAAACTTTTCAATAAAAAAATCAAAAATAAGAAAGATAAAATGTCATTGTAAATGTATCGTAAAAATCCTTTATTGGTTATATTAAAAAAAAAAAAGTACAAATAAATAATGTATTCGAACCAAATTTTGTTGTTAATTTATTTTAATTTTGAAAGATTACTCTTGTCATCTCTATCACATCTATCTTTCGGTGCTTCAAGTGCTGTCGTTTTCATCGCCTAAAGAAACATTGTAATTCATCTGTTTATATTTGTCCATTATGTGTTCAAAATCATAAACTCAGTGAATGTCATAAACCCAGCAATAAGTATTGCATTAACTGCCATAACTTTAACGAAACTGCCGAAAATCCGATCCCCGTAAATAATTCTGTTTTGCAATATAATGAGTGTCATGTATATAAAAAAACTCTGAATGAATTTATATCCAATATTCTATCTCCCTAGTAGCAACCAGATCGAGAACATCATAATAATTAAAGTAAATGTACTATGTCTAACTTTTCTCTTTTCTATCAGAATGTTCGTAGCACTCGTACGAAGACTCGAGATCTTTATCTTAACTCATCAATTTCCTCTCAACATGACATTATTACGCTCACTGAGACCTGGCTAAACGACTCAATCAAGGACTCGGAACTATTTGATCCAAACCTTTACAATGCCTACAGAACTGATAGAACATTCCATAAAATATCTGCAACACTAGGTGGAGGTAGCTTAATTGCTGTAAAAAAACAATTTCCGTCCAGTATCTTTGACACCGAACATATTTTTGAACCTCTTATATCTATTGATGTAACATTTATAAAACTGAAATTGGGTAAGGCAAATCTTTAGGTTTTCTGCATCTACTTTCCTCCGCTCATATCTGCTAATAGTCCAAGAGCTAGTAACACACATTCCATTAAGTGTTTGATGTAGTTTGAAATTTTGTAATTTGAAATCATTTTATGGAAAAGCAGATATACTTGTGTTGGCTAGACCCACCCCGGGACACCAGGTACTGTGCATAATAGAAAGGGGTCGTAAAATGTGACCCAAAAAAAGTGTTTGATTCAGAGGCCAACAAACAACAATTGAAAGTTTAGGTAATTCTAAAAATACTAGTAATTTAGGCAGACACTTTGGAAAGGGTTTATAATTAATAAATCAACCCCTAAGTTAATTTTTTTTTAAATATGATTTGAAGTGTTTGATTCACGCTGAAATTTTAATAGCGTCTTAAATAAATATAAAAAAAATTAATTCCAAAAAGGCAGATACTTTTTCCGGGGTTTAATTGCCGGCCAACATAAAAATGAATGAACCTCGTTATGCGCCACTATGCATTGAATAAGTATTACTTTTTAAAAACTAAACATTTTAAATTACCAAGACTGTGAAATAATAAAACAATAATATTTTTCCTTTTTTTTAGGAAAAAAAAACTAAAAGTTTCGGGGCTCGAACCACCAACTTGCTATCCACACTATCCAAATTTTGATAGTGTGGGATAGCAAGTTGGTGGTTCTCTCAAATATTGATGCATGCACTGTCTCTGAAACATCTGAACTCTTGCGACTAGATCCACAACACCCTGCCCTTTCTGTTGATATTTCCATTAAGACTACTCTAAAGACATTATCTCCATCATGTTCTAAAGAATTTAATTTTAAAAAAGCTTATTTTCCCAGTTTATATCAAGATCTACTTACAATTGATTGGACCCACCTATATCAGTTCGGCAGCGTGGATGAAGCAATTAAAATGTTTTACGAGAGACTCTATAATATCTTCGACAAAAACGTTCATTTAAAGATACCACCGAAAAATCATTATCTTGACTGGTTTAACTCTGAAATAATTAAAAAACTCAATTTGAAGTCTAAAGCATGGAATAAATACAAAAAAAGTAAAAATCCTGAACACTACATCCAATTTAGTAACCTAAGAGCTAAAGTTAAGTATCTGTCTGATTCTGCTTACAAAAACTATATATTTGAGGACATCCGAAGCAAACATTAAAACAAATCCCAATCAGTTTTGGTCATTTATTAACTCAAAAAAAAGGCGTGTTATCTTCAATTCCAGCCAATATGTCATATAACAATGTAAATTCGGAAAATTCCCAGGACATAGTTGAACACTTTGCCAGCTTTTTCGCTGAAAATTATATTGCGTCAGGACCATACACTGCCTCCAACGTTATATCTTGCTCAAATCTGGTAACTACGCCCTTTTTTACAGAAAACGAAGTTCTGATTGCCCTAAAAAACAACGACCAGCCCTGATCTGATTCCTTCCTTTCTAAAGACTGCGCTCAAATTTTTTGTAAACCTTTACAATATATCTTCAACTTAATGCTATCATCGGGAACGTTCCCAACTATCTGGAAGCTTTCTCGGATATGTCCTATTTTTAAAAAAGGTAATCGAAACGAAATATGTAATTATAGGCCTATTACTATTCTGTGCAACTTCTCAAAACCATTTGAGATTATTTTGCATTATCATCTCTCTTTTAAGCTCCGTAATGTTATACCTGAACAACATGGATTCATCAGAGAACGTTCTGCTATAACAAATGTCTTCTGTTTTAGACAGTACTTGTGTGAGGCAAATTGACAAAAAGAAACAGGTAAACGTAATCTATACTGAGTTTTCCAAAGCCTTTGATAGGTTGTATCATGGCATACTACTAACAAAACTTCACCAGGTCTGGCTATTTGTATTTCTTTTGATTTTTTGTCTCTTTCTGTCGCAGTAAGGTAAATACAGACTTCGTCCTGGAATACTCTGAAATTCTCACTCAGGTTTCCAGTTAAGCATAAACATGAAGGTTTATTATATTCCACCATTCTTGCTCTATCAAATATGCTGCGCCATGTTGAAGAGCATTAAATTATTATTAGAAAAATACTTTATTAATAGTGATTGACAAATCTCATAAAAATATGTCTATCCAAAATTTAAATAAAAACAGAACTTCTTATAACAAAGAATATAGCATGTTGATTTGCATAATACATAAAAAATACCTAGTATTAACTAAGCACACTATCTAACAAATAAAATTATGGGTTCAAGAACTATTAAATGATTCAAAGAACGTGCTTGCAACCGGATAAAATGTTTAACCTATATCCACTTTACAAACTTCATTGTTACTTACAACTTGGAGATACACGGATATTATTTGATCACCTAGTAGTTAAATTACTGCGGTAAATTAGTTTGTACATTACAATTGAGATTTAACTACAAATTTCAGGCGGCACATCTATCTTATCACGAGACAAATGCATCTAGAAGATAACGATGAACGACTTTGTATAATTACCAAGTTATAATAGCTTTTATTATTAAATTACATTGTTCTGGTAATTCTAGAAAGGATAGTTATTATGAAAATTGTTAATAAAGTTTTGATTTTACCATAAATTTTAGAAATATCCTGTTTATCTTTCGTTCTTACACGTTATTTTTTTTCGTTTTGATTTTCTTGGTGTTTTTGTTTTTATTTAAATAAAACTGTAGTTTTAACTTATTTTGTAAAGCTCTCGGCGTCTAGTTTGTGCCTTCCTAGGTACTTTATTACTTTAGTTAGCTATTTTAGCTAGATCATTAATCTGATCTTTTATCTTCTATCACTTTTGTTTTTTTTTTAACTTATTATTAGTTCATGTATAAAAAATTGTTTTACTATAGGTACTTAGTTTACTATTAACATTTTATGTGTAACAAAAATAAATGACTGATTCAAAACAAAATTTTGCGAAAAATGGATAATACAATGTTTCTATTATGGTGCAAAATGTTGAAAACTCACTTTTAATGTATTAGTTTCAAATATGAATTCAGAATCAGAGATTTACGGTTTTTTTTTATATTTTTTCTAATACTAAGTTTAAGTAAGCCCTCTAACAAAAAAAAAACCTTTTCCTGATTTCCTCCACAGTACGAACTCCGCCTAGCAGCCTCTGACAACTTGAAAGAAAACTACACGACAGTCGTAATACACGTAAAAGACGTCAACGATAACCCTCCGGTGTTTGAAAGGCCCACCTACAGAACTCAAATCACCGAGGAAGACGATAGAAATCTGCCGAAAAGCGTCTTAAGGGCGAGTCTATTATGTCTTACTTCCGTTGTGTTACTATTGTGTTTTTGTCGTTATTTTTTTTTTTTTTTTTCGCTTTTATTTTTATTTGCAGCTAGCGACCGAGCTGATGATGGTTTTAGATGTGTTTTTTCGCATGAAAATGACTCCTTTAGGTGCTAAATAAAATGGGTTTATTATACATATTTACTTTATTGTTGGGACATAATTTTGAAAGTGAAGAATGTGATATAATAACTGTCTAGATAACTAATATTTCGCAGTGTGTTCCAGGAATTAATGTCAATAATTCAGTGTTAGGTAGATAGGACTACATTACTATATAAATTGCAGACCTTTACAGTTGCGTGCTTCTAAATTTGATGTTTTCTGTATGTTATTATTTTTTATACAGTATATTAACCTAGAAATCACTTTAAATAAAAATAAAACGCTAAGTTATATTTGGACGTGAGAATAATAAATAAAAAAACTTGGTTCACTACGCCTTTTCTATGAAAAGGAGGGATATTGCTGCCCACAATCAGCAATCATAGCACAGCACAAATTTTAGTTTTTCCTTAAATCTTAAAACATCAGTAAGATGGTCTTAGAATATGGCAACTTATTTTCCATTCAACCGACTTAGTACCTTACGGTAGTGTGCATTTAAATTATCTACACTTTGTATATATTTTTTGCAAATTCTAAACTATAGAGTATAGTCTGAAAATAAATAAAAACTGTGGAAAAATATATCATTTTTCTTCAGAACAAGTCATTTAGATGTCCTATTTCAAAATATAACAAATGTGAACGGCAGTAGGTGGACACCAACGAATAAATCAACAAAATAATCATATCATTCCTACCGTATTTTATCGTATCAGTACAAACGAAACTGAACCATCTGTTAGTTATTTAGAAATCGGAAATCAAGGAAATATATTTCACTCATACCATTAATAACCGGAACGACCGAACCTAGTCCATTCTGAATTTCAATTTTATGTCTAAAATATACGGTGGGCGTATACACATAAATAAAGTTTGGAAAACTTGCCCGATATTGCATAGTTTTTATTTATATTTTTTTTAACGACCTAAAGGAGCTCATTGAATTGGAATTAATTATTTTTAAAATACAAAGTTTCACATACTATAGTTAAAATATAAATCAAAATGTTTAATATTGGGAAATAATTTGAAGGAGTGTATATAGTGTTATTTTCCGCTAAGCTTTATGTCTGGAAAGTATCCGACCCTTTTGCTGTGCAGCAGAATTTTTTTTTAGTTAAAATCAGTCCTCTCTGTATTGAAAGCACTTTATCAAATCAGATATATGCCATCGTATTTCTGTTTTCTCAAATCAATGTTTTGAAATTAATGTTTAATTTAGAAAGCAGCCAGAAGTCCTAGAGGACAAGATCAGTTTGGTAGGGATGCTAATGAAGTTAAATAATTATGTTTCTCCAAATTGAGATTAATTTGGCTACAAACAGAATATCTAGATAATACTACTTGATACATATCAAAGTTATTTTTTTTTAATGGGGCACCCTTTCTTTTATTGCATTTTCGAAATCTACAAATAAAAATAGTGTAACTTTATAAACTTACAAAAAGTTTATTAATATAAATGCTATTCAGTATTTGTTACTGGATTATTCATGAAACATAGGAATTAGTTAAATTCATTTTGTAAAAATAAATATAATAATATTATAGTATTATCACACTTTGATACAAGGAAAATCTACATCTTTGTTAAAAATATTCTATTTAAAGTACCGATGTTTTGTGTGTAAAGCATACATATGTATAATGAATAACAATATCTTAAACACCATGTACAATATTTTGATCCGTAAATATTTGAACTTACAACACAGAATATTGTAAGTTTACCTAAAAAAAATGCAATCAAAAATATTAAGAAATTTAGGTATTTGCATTTTATGAACACCCTATATCTTTAAAAGCACTTGAATATACCAGAAATGATAAATAAACTAATTTACACTATTTTTCGTTGTAGTTTTTAAAAATGCAATAAAATACAAGGTCCCATTTAATTTATATCACTATCATCCCTATAAAATTGTAGTCTTTTCTGATATACATCTTACCGTGATTTTTTTTTAAATATTACTGTTTCTATAGACCGAGACGCACACTATATACAGGGTGATTAGTAAATATGGTCGTACACCAATATATTTCTTATTAGTATTAATGTGCAACCCAGTATTTTTAGATGACTTTTAAATAGATTTATACAGGGTAGCTTTGTAGCTGTTGCGTAAGTTGTTTTTGTTCTCTTTGGTTATCATTTTTTGGCAACTCTTTTCTATCCTTCCTTTTGTTTTGTATTAAATCCCTTATTTTGGGTAATTAATACCTATGTATTATTCCATGCACTCCACTGTCCTAATTGGGACATTTAATCCAATTTTGTCAGCCAGTTCAATTTGAAATCTTTCCCAATCTGTTTGTTTGTTTGTTTGTTTGTTTGTTTGTTTGTTTGTTTGTTTGTTTGTTTGTTTGTTTGTTTGTTTGTTTGTTTGTTTGTTTGTTTGTTTGTTTGTTTGTTTGTTTGTTTGTTTGTTTGTTTGTTTGTTTGTTTGTTTGTTTGTTTGTTTGTTTGTTTGTTTGTTTGTTTGTTTGTTTGTTTGTTTGTTTGTTTGTTTGTTTGTTTGTTTGTTTGTTTGTTTGTTTGTTTGTTTGTTTGTTTGTTTGTTTGTTTGTTTGTTTGTTTGTTTGTTTGTTTGTTTGTTTGTTTGTTTGTTTGTTTGTTTGTTTGTTTGTTTGTTTGTTTGTTTGTTTGTTTGTTTGTTTGTTTGTTTGTTTGTTTGTTTGTTTGTTTGTTTGTTTGTTTGTTTGTTTGTTTGTTTGTTTGTTTGTTTGTTTGTTTGTTTGTTTGTTTGTTTGTTTGTTTGTTTGTTTGTTTGTTTGTTTGTTTGTTTGTTTGTTTGTTTGTTTGTTTGTTTGTTTGTTTGTTTGTTTGTTTGTTTGTTTGTTTGTTTGTTTGTTTGTTTGTTTGTTTGTTTGTTTGTTTGTTTGTTTGTTTGTTTGTTTGTTTGTTTGTTTGTTTGTTTGTTTGTTTGTTTGTTTGTTTGTTTGTTTGTTTGTTTGTTTGTTTGTTTGTTTGTTTGTTTGTTTGTTTGTTTGTTTGTTTGTTTGTTTGTTTGTTTGTTTGTTTGTTTGTTTGTTTGTTTGTTTGTTTGTTTGTTTGTTTGTTTGTTTGTTTGTTTGTTTGTTTGTTTGTTTGTTTGTTTGTTTGTTTGTTTGTTTGTTTGTTTGTTTGTTTGTTTGTTTGTTTGTTTGTTTGTTTGTTTGTTTGTTTGTTTGTTTGTTTGTTTGTTTGTTTGTTTGTTTGTTTGTTTGTTTGTTTGTTTGTTTGTTTGTTTGTTTGTTTGTTTGTTTGTTTGTTTGTTTGTTTGTTTGTTTGTTTGTTTGTTTGTTTGTTTGTTTGTTTGTTTGTTTGTTTGTTTGTTTGTTTGTTTGTTTGTTTGTTTGTTTGTTTGTTTGTTTGTTTGTTTGTTTGTTTGTTTGTTTGTTTGTTTGTTTGTTTGTTTGTTTGTTTGTTTGTTTGTTTGTTTGTTTGTTTGTTTGTTTGTTTGTTTGTTTGTTTGTTTGTTTGTTTGTTTGTTTGTTTGTTTGTTTGTTTGTTTGTTTGTTTGTTTGTTTGTTTGTTTGTTTGTTTGTTTGTTTGTTTGTTTGTTTGTTTGTTTGTTTGTTTGTTTGTTTGTTTGTTTGTTTGTTTGTTTGTTTGTTTGTTTGTTTGTTTGTTTGTTTGTTTGTTTGTTTGTTTGTTTGTTTGTTTGTTTGTTTGTTTGTTTGTTTGTTTGTTTGTTTGTTTGTTTGTTTGTTTGTTTGTTTGTTTGTTTGTTTGTTTGTTTGTTTGTTTGTTTGTTTGTTTGTTTGTTTGTTTGTTTGTTTGTTTGTTTGTTTGTTTGTTTGTTTGTTTGTTTGTTTGTTTGTTTGTTTGTTTGTTTGTTTGTTTGTTTGTTTGTTTGTTTGTCAGTGTGGGATTGAGTTATCATTGTTAGGAGTATTAAGGAGTGATCAGATAATAATTCTTCAACATCTTCTATCTTTTTAAAATTTGCTGCATTAGTTCTGGAAATAAAAAAAAAATCCAGAAAGTCTGGTATTTTGTTTTTATTGCTTGGCCAATATGTAGGTTTTCCCGGCGAATGCCTTCTACATTTCTGATCTTCGATAGCCTCGTTCATTTGTAGTATGTCTTGAGTCCCAGCAGATATTTTTTGCATTAAAATCAGCGCCTAATATAAATGTTTCACTTGACAAGAAGTTGCTGTAATCTTGTCTTTTGAGATTATATCTGGGTGGAAACTAGGCAAATGCAACAGTGAGTATATATTTTTTTGTTTTAACAGCTTGTATTTCTTCAGTTTCACTTTTTCCTCGTTCATAGTGTGTTATTTTATTTTTAATAATAATAGAAACTCCACCTCTGGCAGGATTGTTTAGATGAATGGCATTATAGATCTATCTTTTAATTAATCTTTTAATTCATCTCTAAGTTCACGAATAACTCTTGCTGGTGTTGTAAATGTCCATTTGTATTCCATTCGAGAATCTTAGGGTCAGGAGTAATTTTCTCTTTTATTATTAATTTCTAGTCTGCCCAGCCTTTCTAAAACTGTATTGTTAAATTCTTCCTATTTATCCATTTGATTTATTTTTTGCAGCATTGAAGTTATAGGATCAGTCCTGCTCTCTACTGTCAGTTGTATTTCATTACTAGCTACTTGGTCCTAAGGTATTCTTTTGTCTTCCCTGGGCTTGTCTGACTATGTCTCCGAATAACACTGAAGCCTATTGGCTTATTGTGATTTACCCCATGTTAGTTCATAGCACCCACTCTGTCACCTTTGTACCTTGTACAAGTTTGTACAGATCCTTGGGCGAGTGGGTTCTATACGTTGTTGGATCAACCTGGGGTTGTCCAAAAAGAGCCTGTCTTTTGCAATCTAGAGCTTCGCGTTCGCACAGTA